ACTAGACCACCTTGCGGGTTGCATTGGATGCCGATCAGAGACTCCGCATAGCTCAAGGGGCTAGCGTCGGGATGAGTCCATGGGTGGCGCCGGCTTATCGTGCGTCAACTTGTTCCTAAGAGCATCTTCAACAGCCGCACAAAAATTTGGCGCCCAATAAAAGTTATAGCGTGCCACTTTAGCATTTTTAGTGCGCCGGGACCAACATCGCTTTTGCAGACGCCCAAAAACGCGCGCACAAAAAATACACAGTGCAAATTGTGAAGCGCGCGCAATCCGGAGTCCAAAATATACTGCACGCGATAGCGTTTTTCAGCGCGCGCCCAAAAACTTTTAGCGCTACAGCATCTGCTGGAGCTGTGCGGCGCCCAAAAAAACAAAATTTTAGTGCGCGGAGCTCTTTTTGGGGGTCCAAAATCCGGAGTCCAAAATTTTTATTATTTTTGGTGTTCGTTGTACTACCATGATTGAAGATGAATAGATCGACCGTTTTTCGCAAAAAAAAAGGTACGCTCCAATGTTCCGCCATTGCATGCCAATGCACCGCAATAGGCATCTGCAAAAGGCATGAAAAGTGTCCTCCAGCTCCATTGCAAAGAGGGGGCATGCGTCAGAAATCTCAAGACCACGGTGTTTTTTTATTAACCACGTAGGTAAACAGTCGGTTATTAAGAGCCAGATGAACATGCAAACCTTAGGAGGAGTAGGGCACCTCTAAATAAAAGCCCAGACCTCGTCGTCGCGTCCAGTGCCCTACTCATTCCAACTGAAGAAGGTCAAAGATGATCTTCCAGCGCCAGTCCGTAAGTGCTCCACAAAGAGAAGACACTGCTTCGCTCCAGGGCCCAAGCGAGGTGATCATCACCCATTCGTGGCGATGTGTGAATTTTCAATATCTCCTATACATCTACTAGAATAAAGATGTCACGAAGTACATCCACATGCCAAGCACCATGAGTGTCAGCAGCTCGGACACCCTTTGAATTCGACTTCTGCCTTGTTGTATGACCGATTTCTCTCCTCCATTCCAAGATATCCAACTGTCGTGCCAAACATGAATAGAATTTCCATTTCCCACGTCCATATTAAGCCCTACTTCAGGAGTTCAAGGCCATGTTGAATGGCTTGCCTAGTAGCAGATGCCCCTTGAGAGAAAACTTTATCTTCTAAGTTGCACATCAAATAGTGTCGTGCCTTTAGTACTCTAGCGACTAGACTCTTCGGCTTGGTTAATAGCCTCCATGCCGAGCGGGCCAATAAAGCCTGATTCAACATGCGGAAGCCCCTCAATCTCAAACCCCCTTCTGATTTTGGTTTGATCAGTTGCGGCCAGCCCCTCCAATGCATTTTCTTCTTTTCATTCTCCACGCCCCTGAAGCCGTATCATACGCATTAGGTCATCACATGTGGACATTGCGATTGTGCAACCGCCTTATGGAAGACTTCGCGACCGCTCTGGGCAAGGAAAGATATATTCCATGACACCATTCACTTGGTAAGCTTGCTACAGATTGGTGAACCGGTCCTTTGACATGCCCCATTGGGGGTTGGTTAACCGACATACTTTTCTCGAAAATTATGGTTGTGCACCTCTAGTACTGGGACTATGGTTTCTTTATCGGGCGGGCTGCAATGCTCACCAAAAAAGATTGAGCATTTCTGCGGATTCACCACTTGCCCGGTACCGACTGCATACCTTGACAAATCCCCTTTAATGTTTATGTCCTCCTCCTCTGTAGCCCCCAAAATAATAGGGTGTCATCCGCAACTAAAAAATGTGATACACAGCATGCGGACACACCCGCAACGACGACATCCTTCCCTCGTGAACTTTCTGCTTCAGTATAATAGCAAGCCCATCAGCAGCAAAAAGGAATAGAGAGGGTGATAGAGGGTCTCCCTACCACTGCCTGCGGAACGGTGAAAATGAATCCAAGAGGGCTCCATTCAGATTAACACAGTAATGAACCAAGGTGACACATGTCATTATCCTTTTCACCCACTGGTTCGCAAAGCCCATCGTTTGCATCACTTGTGCCATGAATCTCCAATCAACCACATCACACACCATGGATAGGTGAAGCTTGTACATACAAAAAATCCAATATCAGGATCTTTCTCTTGCTTTATGTAATGAGTGCACTAAAAAACGAACTGGAAATTATCCGTGATTAGTCTGCCTGGCACAAAAGCGCTCTGCTCAGGAGAAATAATTTCATCAAGGAGCAACCTTAGTCTATTTACCAGACATTTCACGATGATCTTGTACACCTATTACATAGACCTGTAGGTCTAAATACGGGGTCATTATTTCTAAATGGACTACTAACCATCGGATCTACACAGTGATTCATGTACATTTTTTCCTGTTGATATCTGAAACAGATAAAGAGAAAAGAAAAATGTCCTATGACAATGCTGAGGTCAGCTAGATTTTCTCCTCCTAATGTCTGCATGGATTCAACACCGGATGTGGTGATATTCATATTGAATTCATGTTCATAAACGATGCAAAAATTCTCGTGAGGGCGGCCTGCTCACCGGCTTACTGAGGCACTACACAGCATCAAAGTTGTCTGATGATGTCCGGAGCGGAGGCAGGAGTCGAGGAACCAACGATCCAGAGAGACCAATCCCTAGCCGACCGGCCGGCAAGCCACAACGGCTAGTCTGCCAGACACTGGTGCCCTAGCCCCACGTTTCGGCATCTGCAAGTCAAAGGGGAAATCGTGGTGGTTGCTGCCTCACTAGTTATTGGATTCGTTCGTCTCTCTACACACTATAGATTTGGCCCTTCTAGTTGTGGGTTGTATATATGGAATACAAGGGGTAATATACTTTTTTT